AGAGCAACAAAATCAGCTCTGCATTTAACCCATCCCCTTGGGCTGCCATTGTGCGGCACTCAGGGAGCAGTTTGAGGTTAAGGGTCTTTGCTCAGACACCCAGTGTGGCAGTCTGTGGGAGTGGGGCTCGAACTCTGAGCACAATGCCCTAACAACTAGGCCGCCACACCTTTAAAAGATAAATTTGAATTTTTTTTTTTTTTAGTATATATTGTTAATAACCTAGTATTATTATTCTCCATTATCATTTTGATGGTTTTGCATAATACGTTGTATTACATGATTAATAGACTTCATACTTAATATGCAATTTGATCTGCCAATTTTCTTAACCATAAATTACATTAATCTACTAATGCAATAAAACAAGTGTATAAGAAAATATAAGAAAATCATTGTTGTTCGATGCTGTAGGTTACGTATTGTTTACAATCCGACCGGTAGTAACTAGGGAGCATGAATATGGAGGCTGGTGACCTCAGGAATGAGTTCTAAACTCCAATCGCAGGAGAATAAATAGAGATCAGTGCTGTAATCTACACGCATATCAGCTTTTGGCTTCACTGGCAGCAAAAGGCTTCTGAACTGGGAATATTCCTCTGGCTTGTACGACGTCTGGAGTTCAATATTCCACCAAATAGTTGATGCCAGCAGTCCTTTGCAGTTGCAGTCTTAGACAAATTAAAAATGCAAGATGATAATGTGATGTCAAACTACTAATCAGCATCATCTGTCGAGACCTACCCCTTCACTGTGAGACAAGGACTCTCCTGGTTCCTCTTCCTCCCATTCTTCATCACTGTCCACCTCATAGTCCAATAAATTCTGTGAAGAGAACAGTTCTCAAATATTATCTTTAACTCAATATAGCTTAAAATTTAGGCCTGATGTTTAAGAAGCCTCAGCTGAGCAGCTTTACCTTGTCCTGCCTGAGGGGGCAGCGTGGAGAAATATGAGAGCTCTTCTTACTCCAGGTGCCCCAGTATGCTGGACGGTAGTTCTCATGGAACTGCAGTAGCTTCATTGGTCCGTAGCGTTTTCGGTCCGGTATACCATCTGGTTTGGACACTTCCATGGCTATGCAGTCCCTGAAGGAACAGATTAAGACAGAACATACAGGTTAGTTCCTAATGAAGCAGAAAACTGGTTTAAAAAGTTGTTTTTTGGGGGGAAAGGAGCTTCAAGTCATATCAAGTCAGAAAATGGCAGGATCTTAACTTATCTATTCATATCCATCCTCATCCAGCAGGGTTTTTACGATGCACTTTGCTAAGAGTTATTCAACCATGTTCATTGTTACAGAGGCCTAGAAGAGTATCAACAGCTGGCAAATTTGGTCACATAACATGGTGCCTTGTTGGCTGATTGTAATGCATCTCAAAGCTTTTATTTTTGCCCCATTCATTAGTAAAGAACGTCGCACACAGCAAATGAACTAAGAATAAAGCCAATAAGTCAGCAATGCTGAGGTGGAGCTGCCAAATGAAAGAAGGATTAAAAATGGCAAGACGGTCAAGAAAAGTAGCACTTAGATTAGCATATGAACACATGTGCACACGCTTTGGACAGCAGAGGCAGCCAATTGCTGCATGTGAATTAAATTTTTGCTGCTGGATGCGCCACATCAACCAATCAGAGAAGCTGATCTGGGAACTGGCAGGGAGACAGACACAGCACTGCTGATGCAGAGCGCTATGATCACTCCACTGAAACAGATTATTAACGCCTAAATTAACTTAAAATGTAGAAACCTGCCGGCAAAGTATGTTTGCTTTTATTATCCTGGTGCCTACAGTTTGTACCACATACCTAAAAAAACGCTAACATCCACTTCCAGCCGCCACAAACAGTAGGGGAAATCCCCCAAGAAGCAACTGGGACAGAGGCGCTTCTTGTGGCTGAGCGGCTCTGACAATGAAATGATATTTGAAGGCAGGATCATAATCTGGATGAACTGACTGCACAGACAATGTTAGTCATTGAACACAGGAGCAGCAGAAGCATCAGAAACATCTGGACGTGTTTCAGGTGCGTCAAGAATGCTCTAATTCAATTGAGTGTATTTCTATAGCGCCAATTCACAACACATGTCATCTCAAGGCACTTTACAGTTCATCTGATCATCCAGTCAGATTGATTCAAAGTTTTCTATCCAAGGAAAACCAGCTGATTGCATTAACTCGAAAGCAATCCCTCACAATAAGCATGCTTGTAGCAACAGTGGAGAGAAAAAACTCCCTTTTAACAGGAAGAAACCTCCAGCAGAACCAGGCTCAGTGTGAGCGGCCATCTGCTGAGGCCGACTGGGGTTCAAGGAGACAGAAGCAGACATAGAAAAAGAAGCAGAGATTCAAAAAGCAGCTGTAAAAGGCGGCCCCGTCCAGGAAATACACAGCCAGGCTGTGTATTTCCTGTGTATTTACAGTTTAGCACAGTTACTATTTTTTAGGTAAGGAAAAACATAATTTAGGGTAGAACTAAAACTGAGGGCGACCCGGACGTATATCTGGCTGCGCAAATTAGCTGGTGGTATGGATTGGGTAGCGACAAGAAGACTGAATTCTGCTCTCAGTAAATCAGTCTGGCTGGCCAGGCAAGCTGCAGGCACCAAGTTAGTGGATCCTGCCATAGTTTTACAGATACACCGTTTTTAAAAAGTGTGATACTAATTATTTTTAAATTTGCTGAGGATTTGACTTTTCAATTCTTGAAGCACATATTGCTTTGTCTTATGAAAATAAAAAGATAAATTAAATATAAATACGCTTTCCCCACCGTATTCAGTGTCAAATACAAATATAATTGGCTAAAGCACAGATATCTATTACAAAATACCATTAATCGGACCTCTGTCCTCTCCCCAAGCAGCAAAAAAGACCTTTAATTCATTTCATCACTCCAAAGCATTTAAAAGCACCGAGGTGGTCGATAATGTAGAACCTGTTCTTAAGACCAAAAGTCCCAAGGAGGAAAAAACATGTAATTTTTTCCCCCCTTTTTTTCCTGACCAATACATTTATTTATTTTTTTGACTGGAAAATATTAACCACAACAGTTAGGTAGGTGGGGGGCAGGGGTGGGCGATATGACGATTTAAGACCGTGTTAGGATCTACACCTCTGACGATCTGTCATTATTAAGAGACCGTTTTATCAGGATCCACAGAACTGCAGTGCTGCTGTATTTCTACCAAAAAAAAAACCTTCACAGCTAGAATATAATC